TCTTCTTCCCTGGTTTATGAGCCTATAAGTTGTAAGCACTGTATTAGGAAAAAAATGTTTTCCCTACAGTTTGTACTGCGTACTTGCTTTTGTTTGTCTTTCCAGGACTGTTATGCATAGTAGGGAAACTATTCATAGAAGTAAAAATAACCTCCATGCAAACCTAAATGGAAACAGATATGGATTGAGAGACAAATCCAGCTCTACTCATTTTATATGCAAATAACCTAACCCATGCGATACAGGAGAAAAAATTAAAAGGCCATGTCTCTTTTAGTACAGAGAAGTTATGACATTGCAGCTAGAAACCATAGTAACAATATTAAAAAAATAAAGTAGGGAAGCATTTCATCTAGTATTGACTCATGTTTCTTACTAAAGATCAAAGCATCCAGAGCCTTCTTTGAAATATGTAATAATACATTGAGTCTAATTTCCAGGGCCTAATACTACAGAAGTTGAAAAGCTGGGGAAAAACAGAAAAGAAACTTTGCTGGAAGGTGTTTTTTTCTCAAAATGAACAGCTTAAGAATACTTAAAGTAGAGCTTTTAGTGATAATTTTAGTGCCACTTGTCAGTTTGCCAAAACACTTTCTGTTACTAAATAAGTATTTCAAATAAAATTCAAAATTACCATATCAAACAATTACCGTTCCCAGGCAGCACAGTATTTACTGAATGAAGGTGAATATGCATGAGGATCGCTTTTTCATGACTCAATTTCATTTTGTCTTAATGAGCACAGGCTGCTTCTTGAGTTACATGAGACCTTTAATTGGTGTCAACAACTGTGACAACGCCTCTCCTCATGGTTTTCTCCCCACTTCACTTTTCAGTAAACCAAAAGGCAGAAAACATGCTTCAATTTCAGATCCATAATGTACTTTAAAATTCCACCAGCACTGCAGAGTGTAATTATCCTCCAGAAATAAAGATATTACAGTGATTTCATTAATTTAATTCCCCTGCCTCGCCTTTTCAGGCGTCAAATTACAAATGGTAGCTTTCCCTTTCTAAGACATAGCAGTAAAGTCTAGATGTAGCACCTGCTCTCCCCAAAATCCGGGGAGTTTTTTTAATCAAAAATGGTTAATTTTGGCATGCAGTCTTCAGAATTCCTGGAACTTTTATATATCTAGTTCAGGCTGGATTTTGTTGTCTTGTGTCTGATCTAACCTCCACAGAGATGAGGAGGGGCACTTCCCCTGGCTCATGGGCATCATTCACACGAATTCTCACAAGCTGGAGCATCTCTAATGGTGTGTGGTGCAGAGAGAAGATAAAAAACAGGAAGTCACTCGCCAACTTTGACATGCACATGTAGGGAAGTTGTCAAATGGAACGTTTTGTAACTGCTGCTCACTGGAATGGTTTGGCCACACCGGCATCATTAGTGTTTGGATAAACTGCAGCAGTTGCTGAAGCTGTTTCTGCCTCTTTCTATGACAGGTTCATTTCACAAGATGCATCCTTCAGAAGAGCTGGACCAGCTCGAGAATCAGCCACAGACATGTCACCCAGAGAGAGCTTTATATACAGAAATTAAGGGCTGTGTGAGAAGGGCGCTGTTTTCCTGGTGGAGAGCTCAGGGAAGAAGAGGATGAGCAGGATGTGGGTGAGCGGTGGGGGCAGGGCCCTGGGCTCTGACATCAATCCAAACACCTCAGGAGAGCCTTGCACTGAAAAGGGCTCACTGAAAATCCGTCTCACAGGTTAGGTGCATTCTTAGAGTGATGGTTGTCTTGCTTAGCAGCAGACCACTGCTCCAGGAATTCCACCTCCTGATCTTTTTCATTTGGATCAAGATCCAAACAAAAGCCTAAGAGGCTCTTGTACAAAGCCTGTAATTATGTGTGTCTGTTCAAGTACGCTTTTGCATTACAATGTTAGTAGAGGATTTTCTGGCAAAAGAGGAAATACTGAGTTTTCATCTCCAGCATTTACAGAAATGTGTTGAATTTAACAAACCTTTGACAAGACACACCAAAGAGTGTCACATAATCCTGTCTGCAGCTGAAAATATACCTGCCTGCCCTTACTTCGTGGTCCTGAGCTTCAGAACAATCGTGATATCCATCCTGTGTTGAGGACTAATTTGCATTTATTGTCTTGATGTACATGCCTATTATTTTTCTATGCATATTTTAAAAATATAAAATATATGACTAGAATGAAAATATAGACTATATGCCTTTAAAATTAAACTGAGACGGTCCTGTCATGATGTAAGCATGATGGATGTGGTGGGATCTCTGAGTCTAGATGCTGTTGGAGCTTTAGGATTGGTACTGCATGAAGAAATTGGGATTTTTTTTTTTATTTTTTTTTTTTTTAATATGTGCTATTCGCCTTGGATTTTTTACTCTCATGTATATTTGGTAGGATTTTTTGGCAAATCCGCCTTTTTGTGCTGACCAAGATTGAGTCTTTTTGGCAAAGTTCAGTCTAAATCCTCTAAATCACACTTCTGTTCTTGGCCTTTCTTAAGTCAAATTATCAGAGCTTGTATGCTAAGCTGTGACCTTTTTTTGGTGATGTAGGAGTGTGAAGCAGCAGTTTTAAACCTAGGAAATAAAGAGAAATAAAGACTACTGCCTCCCATATTTCACAGCTGGGTGTTTTCAAACACTTTCTGAAACAGATCTTTTATAATGCTTAAATTATAAGTTGCATTACAAAAGTTTTCAGAAATTTGATTGCTAAAATCCAAACCATTTCAATATGCTGTTGATGCTTCTGTGTAATTGCATATGATATAGGCAGATAATGCTCTGAGAGTTTGAAAAACTACTTGTGAATGGAAATCAAATTGCCTTTAGATATATATGAATTTATAGTGATAATTTTTTTAATTCTCCAAGTTTCATCTCATGTTTAGCATCTGAAACAGATAAATAAAAATGTTATGAGGTTTGATCAACAGCAAAAGTTTAATTAACTTTGTCAATTAGAAGTACCAAAGTTTTCATTAAGAAGTTATGAAAGAATTAGTACTGTTAATTTACCCTTGAGTCAGGGATATACCCCCTAGAAGTGCCATTCCTGTACATTTCTTGTAAAAACTAAATTCTAAATTAATTATAAATTAATTCTAAAACTAATTCTAAATTAATTGAAAATTTGTTAAAATCATTCATGGATCTTCACAGTGTAATTATTAAAATTATTGTCATATGTGAAAATGTCAAGAATAATCACCTCTTTTGAAAATAATGGTGCTGTTGATAACAGAGGATCAGCCAGACATTGTGTGGACGTCATGCTTCGTGATACTCTTTTCATGCAGTTATCAGAATAATGGCACACATTATATTTATCATGTTTGACTATTTTATATATGCTTGTAACTTCTCCTTAAGCTGTGTTTTCAAATGGCCAGGAGCTGGAGCCCACTGACAGCCATCATTCTGGCACTTTCTATCTCTGTGCTGGGGTAGAGCCAGAAGTGGGAGGGCTTATAGGGGCACAGAGAGAATTGTGAGATTTCATTACCACCCGTTTGTTTTCAAGCACTTTTTTATCCTCAGGTCCCAAAAGATTGGTAGCACAGAAATTTTGGGTTTCTACTTGCTTGACCTTGACCTACTACAAAAAGTGCTGTGATCCCACCTCTTCCTTTCTGTGGGAATTTTCTGTTCCGAAAACCTGAATGAGGTTTTTAGGAAGGGAAGATGACTTGCTACACTTTTGAGTAAATGCCAGAATTTGGGCCCTCCTGGCTGCTGCCTGTGCTGTGACTCCAGGCAGCAGAAATGGCCCCGCGGCTGCAGTGCAGGGAGGAGGGGTGATTGTCCCCAGAAATGTCACTGTGACATCAGAGGCACGGCCAGAGGAGCCCACATCCTCCTTGCAGCCTAACCTCAGCCTTCCTATTCATTTCTCTACTAACCACCGGTACTGGGGAAGAAAGAAAAGAGAAAAAGAAATGCAGACAGCAAAAATTAAAACTAGGTGATAGACTAGAAGCTGGGTATCAAAGAACAGATATTTTTCACCCCTGCCTGCTTAAGATGTGGCACAACTTTAACCTCAGTTCATACCCTGAGGAGTGTATTCAGGCTTTTAGGCTCCTTAATATCCTTTATGGTCTAAATGAGTTGGTTCCTTAATGTAGTTTGATAAAGTGGGATATTTTGCATGGAGGATGTGGTGGTGTGTAGAAGGTACGAGCAGAGCTCCAAACAGGGCAAGATTGTTGGAGATTTATAGCACCTCAAAAGCATCTAATTAAAAGTAAAGATTTTTTTCTTCTTGAAAACTTTTATTGCTGTCTCTTGTATTTAGACTTTTTTTCCATAGCAAAGATTATTTCTTTAAAATATTTTTTCTTCAATACCATGACACAACTCCTCCTTTCTTCTAAATATGTGCAATAAATCCTCCAAGAGCAGTGAATTTGATCAGTGTGTGCATCTGAAGGTTGCAGGTTCCAATCATATCTTGCTGGTTTGAAAGATAACACCATGACTAAATCCTGATTTACATGTTTACTTTACAGCCTAAAACTGTTTCTTATGCCTACTTTTCTGCTTATTTGTATTTTATTGAAATGAAATTAGTAAATTAATTTCATTGGTAGCAATTAATGAAATTATTGCTTTGTGAGTATGTGGGGGGACAGTACCACCAATATATTTGGAAAAGCAAAGAAAATTAATTAATTGAAAATGTACAAAGTAAGATTTACTAGGTTGTGGTTTTCTTCCCAAATGCCTGTGCAATTAATAAAAGAGACTTTTCAATTAAAAATTAAATTAACACAAATAAACTTGAAGACCTTCTTATTGAAGGCAGCTGTATTATGAAACATTAATTTGCTCTGAATGCCAAGAACATTTATTATAAAGCAGTTGCCTATTTATTAAATATTATCTAGTGTGTTATCGACCATATTTCTAGGTCTCCTGTTTTGAATTAGCATAAAACAAGTTTAAAAGAGGATTTAAAAATTTTTGCAAGCTACAGATAAGGTGACAAATGAAGGAGTAAATGTATTCAAGTCTCCTGAAAGGGATTTATTTTGGAGGCTATACTTCTAAAGAGGCATCAACAGCAAACAAGAAAACCAAAACATTATGCTTTAAAATCTCATATCTCTTTGAAAAATGAAACAAACACTGGAAAAAAAACCAACAATGGCAAACTTTTTTATTAGGAAGGTAGCTCAAGTGTCTAGCGTATTCCATCCTGCTTCTTGAATATTTCTCTACTGTTATTAGAAAGCATCACGTGCAATTTGTACTTAAAAACAAGCTGGCACAGGTGATTCTTGAAAGTGGCTTCTGCAATCACTTTAATAATGAATATTATCTGTGCAGAATTGCAGTGGGAGGCATTATCAATTCCTGAAGCCTCAGTGTTTTTCCTCACAGAAACGGGAGCCATCTCTTCTGATTTCTGTCCTGGTGCTTCTTCACCAGTTCCTTGTACACTTCTGACCTCAGAAATCTGGGAAAAGAGTCCTTTGCCATGAGACAGTAGACTGAGCTCTGAGCAGCATCAAAGCAGCTGAGGGTGGGCTCAGAGATGTTCTGGGAGATGTCATTTTTGGTATGGAAGTCGATATTAATCTGTAGGAAGAAAGGAGCACAAAAGCGGTGTCAGTTTGCTTGGAAAGCTGAGGTCTGTTTGTGTCCAGGACACAAGCTGCATTTGAATTTCCTCCCAAATAACCCAACTGATGCAAATAAACAGGAAGCTCATCCCTTCGTTTTCCAGCAGACTGAATTCTTCATTTTATTTGGTTCTTAAAAAGATGGCATTGCTGAAAAAAGAAGATAAAAACTTGCTTTTCCTTCTCATCTTTCTGCCAAACCAAATCCTATGAAGTACTGATTACCAAAGAGTAAATTAAAAGTGAAGGTGCTCAGCATCATTTTAGACTTTGGCCCTATGTATTTTCTAAGGATTTTTTGTTTTTAACAATAACAAGATGTATTTTAATCATATGTAAGAGATGGGAACGTTTAAAGCACTTTTGCTAGCAAAGGTAAAAACATCAGTGTAAATGTTTAAGGTGCAGAAAGTGAATAATGATTAATAAGCAATTTGTTCTTTCACAGTAAGCCTTTTTGAAGTAATTATAAAATTGAATTCTGTGATGGAAATTTTTGCATTCTCATCATGTCAAAAATACCTACACAAAAGAACAAATGCAATCATAAACCTACTAATGTTCTGGTGCACTGAATACAGAAGAGATGGTGCTTAATGCATGACAAAAAATTATTAGAGAAAACAAATTATATTGAGCATAAAGTTCCTTAAAATTTCTGACAGAAATTTCAGAAGACGATGTAAACTTATTCCCAGTGTGAAGAATGTAAAGAATATGAAGTGTAAACCATAACATCTTTGCTTCACAGAGCTGCACAAGGTGTTTACCTGGTAAATAATGGACATTAACGTGGGAGTTACAGCCAGGCTGAATTGTATTTTCGGTCATTCTTTGAAGCCTGGATCTGAACTTTCCACTTCATCACTATCCTCAGTACCCAAAGCACACACCGAAAAAACTCTTTACCTCCTTGGGAGCATCAGCTTGTATAAAGTCAGAATAAATCTTCTGGGCTTTCAAGGCAATCTTGGTGGGGGATTTTGTTTTCTTGAAGTCCTCGCAGGCCAGCCAGAACTCCACATTCTCCTCACTGAACTCGGATTTCAAAAATGTCCGAAAAGCTGCCAGGCCCTCTGGGGAAAATGCATCAGATAGTGATGAACTGACTTGAAATTGAAAGGCCAGTGCTATTTATGTGTGTGCATACTCACACACACACACACGTGTGTGTATATTTATATATTTACAGTATGTGTATAGTGTAACCTATGTATCTGCCACTCTTTTTACATGTCAGCTAGCAGTCAGGTTTGAGAAGCTGCTGCAGGGGAAATAAATAGGAGATTAAATTATGGTGCTGATAAGGGGGCTACTAAAAGAGTTTTTCAGTGAGTTGCCAACCAAAGATTGCTCTCAACTGCTGCCAGCTGTGGTTTGGTCTCTTTAGCACTGGTACATTTGTTAAAGGGGGATCCTAGAGGTTTTGGTCTTCAAAAGGATTTGTAGTGGCTGGGAAATCAGAGATTTGAGGCTGACTCCTGGGCTGAGAAGCAAATAGAAATGTAGGTCACACTGTGCTAGTGTGCTTCCCCCACAGCTGAGGTTCCCTGCCCAAATGTGCCTTCCATCTCCTTGCAAGGAAAGATGAAGACCTGGATAAAAGATGGACTCCTTGTTACTTCTTTGTTCCTCTTTCTTTTCTTTTCTTTTTTTTTTTTTTTTTTTTTCACTTTGAAGGGGAAAAAATGAAACCAATAAAGGTTTGTTTGGAATAAATGGTTTTCAGATTAATCCAAATCACAAGCTCTGAGTAAAGAAAGCTGGCAGTACCCAAATTTAGTTGTGTTAGTCAAGTTAATGCTCTCCAGGAACAGCATGGAGGCATCCCAGGGTCCAGGCCACAATATGACTGCTGGGAGATGGGGGAGGGGCAAGGACATTTCCAAGTTGCTTGTGGTTTGTGGTGTCAGGTCTGTAGAAATGGCACTTCTAGGAGAAGTGACTTTAGATATGCCATTTTTTGTTTGACTGGAAGTCACTGCACAACGCGCGTATTTCTCAGGAATACCTAAGAAAACCTTTGTGGTTTTTTTGTGTAAAAAATTATGAAAAATGAAACTACTGCAAGGGGAATTTAGCAATTACTTTAACAAAAACTATTTTATCGGATTTCTGCCTGCCCTTGAGCACTGGCCAGAAGGTGTGTTGTGTTTGCAGCTTGGACAAACCTCTCAGGACAGCAGCTCTCCCACCTCCAGCAGCAGCTCTGCTCAGTTCAGTGCATGTGGGGAGCTGAACTGGAGAGCAGTGTGAAAACCTGGCAGAAATGTTTGGTGAATGGGATGACAACTGTTTCAAAAACACATATGTTTTTCCATCACTTCTTACCTTTATTGGATAGTACTGTATCCACAGACTCAGACCAGGCCATGCTTTCCCCAGCATTTGACCTGTGGAAACAACATCTGCCCTTGAAAATAGCATTGTGGTCTCTGCTCTGTGCAGCCTGGGGTGGCTGAGAGCCTACGGTGTGGCTGGCTGCTGGAGAGAGGGGCTCAGCCACTCCTCCTACCCTACACACAGCAAAACAGGCATATTGGCACTGCTGACGTGATTATTCATCCTGGAAATACTTGTAATGCTTGCAGCTGGTGGAGCTCTAATAAAGCACAGGAGAGGTAGGAATGTTCTAGAGAGTGTACTGAATTTCTTCTCAAGTTCAAAAGGATTAAGCATTAATTTATACGGCACTTTTTGCTTGTAGTGACAGGAATTATGTTACCAAAGCTAACACTAAAATGTTACCAAGCTAACACTAATAGGAAACATGGGCCTCATATGAGCTTCTCAGTGGCATAAATAATTCATAGTAAATTCATAGTTTTGGCTCTTCCCCTGCAACTTGCTTTAGGCTTCTGCTAGGCATGAGGGCAAACACTTTGTTCTGTATAAAGTATTGCCAGCTTTCTTAAAACAAACAAATAAATAAACCCCACCAAAACAAACAACCAAAAAAGCAACCCCCCAAAAAACAACCAAACAAAAAAACCAACTCAGCATTAAAAAAAAAACCACAAGTACTCTCAAGTTCTGTAAAAGACATTTGATGTTCCTAAGGGGGCTCTGAGAGCTATCAAAACCCTGCTCTCTGAATTATAGAGGTTGGTTTGAGAGCTGTGTTCCACAGCCACTTCTCAGCATCACCACTAATGGTATTTTCTAATTGCAAATTTATAAAAAGATCATATAACAGTGTCAGGATATTACATGTCTGTAGTTATAATTATTACAAGGGATGGTGGCAGTGACACCTTAAACAATCAAGCTTTTTTGTAGCTCTCCATTTACTTTTATCCAGAGTGCAAAAATTGTATATAAGCAAGAAAAAAATTGTGCGTATTTGTAAGTATATATAAAGACATACATGAGGGAAGCTGGAGTGCAAATATAGTAAGTCTGTGAAACAACAAATGAAAACTAAACATAGCATTATGTTGTACTTTGTGAGACATCATGTGATCATGGCATTAATCAGCAGAGAATTTGTTTTAGCAACAATAAGAAACTTTTATCAAATATGTGATATATTTTCAGGATCTTTATTAAATGTTTACTAGCTGTCTTATCAAGCAAAATAGCAAAATGAAAGACCAGGATAAACCAGACAGTTTTGCTTCTTGTTCTTATGGGTAATATTAGTTGTTTTAATATTTACTCACCACTCAGAATGATCTCACTAACCATGTGGGATTTACTTGAACGGGAATGGAAAGCAGAATTGACAACAAGGAATCAGAATAGTCATATCCCCTTCACAGGGGGAAGGAAAATAAAGCTGTACAGATTATTCAAACTTGGTCATCCCATCGTGTAAATCTTCTACCATTAAAATAGACATAAACAGCAACTCACTTCACTGGCATTTTTTGTTCCACTGTTTGTCTGTCTGACTGTCTCAGGGAAGGCAGAGTTTCTTTTTCTGACTGATCTTCAAGCTGAAGGTACAGCAGGAACAATACAGTTAGCATGTGAATAATCAAACAGGACAATGCACACTGACAAATCTTCTCAACATTTTCTTTAAAATTATTTCTTTCAGAAATGTGGCCTATTTTTAAGCAGTGCCACTCTCACCTAATAGTGGCCATAATACAAAAGGACTGGGGGCAATGGCAACACATTCCTGCCCAGGGTCAGGGTGGTGGAGCGAGTCCAGAGAAGGGCAGCAGGTGGTGAAGGGGCTGGAGCACAGGTCTGATGGGGAGCAGCTGGGGGAGCTGGGGTGTTTAGCCTGGAGAAAAGCCCCAGAGGGGACCTTATAGCTCCCTAAAACTGGCTGAGAAGGGATTGTAGCCAGCTGCTGGTCTGTGTAATTTGTCTCTTGCTCTTGATAATTATTCTTTCATCCCCAGCTCTTTGCTTCCCCCGTATAACCCTCGCTGTCCCTCACTCTCCTTGAACACGCAGGTTTATTGATTGATTTCTTGCCTTCCTCCACATCTTGTCCTGAGGCCAAATCCTTTACTCAGATTGCTCAGATTCCTGGTTCTCAATGTCTCCACTTGGCATAAACTTCCAGTGGTTCAGGAACTGGGATCCCAGCTGTCCCAACTTGCAGGCTTAGGGATTTTTGTCTTCTCAGTTAAAATATTTTATACCTAGTAGAGCAGTCTTAGGAGTTTCAGTCCCATTTGATTTTCCTCTGAGGTACAGTCATGAGCAAAGCTGCCTCCTGCCTACCTGAGAACATCTTTCTTATTTTAGCCATGTCCATTTTCTAAGAAAGAAAAACCCAAGCACCACATGCCATGTTTTGCCCTTAGCAATGTTAGGAGGTTATTCCTTATCCTTACCTTTTGTAGATCTGTAAAATAAGTTTTGGGCCAATCTATTTGATGAACTTCACACGGGACAAAAAACCAGTGAATCTGGTCAATTGTGCTCCAGGAAGATGAAGTCAGATAGAAACAGATATGGAGAGGTGCATTACTGGGACGAGCAGGAGAATTGAACTGTCGTGCAGGAGAAGAATGAAAGACCAGTTTGTCTCTAAGATGAAAGCAGAGAGGAGCTATGATTGCCCTCTGAATACAGAGAGGTAACCTGGTGAGAAAAAATAATTATTTTAGCATAATGGTTATACTGACAAAAGAATAAATGTATAGAAGCAGTCAGTGAACAAATTCAGACTGAAAACCAGAATAAGGCTTCACAAACTGTTGTTCTTTGCAGTCTTCCAGCAGAATTTTTTGCCCTCTCAATTCTTCTGTACTTTGAAGATAGAGCTTCATATATTTTTGAGATTATTTTAAATTGTTGTCTTCATTAATAGAACACTAGAAATTATGACCTAAGATGCCCTTTTAGTCCCACATATTACTAAAAAATATTCTTGGCAGCAAAATTCTAATACTTTCTGTAATTCCTTAGCTTTGCATCTGCTTGCTTCTAAACATTATAGCAGAAGATCAGAAATGTTAATTATCATCCTGGTTTTCTGATGTGATTTTTATTTTGCTTAATTGGTCATTTTTTCTTATTTAGAGAACATCTTGTGTGCCAGAGAGGACCAAAAGCCTTTTAGTGCATTGTGCTCATGAGACTAACTTCAGCATCTTACACCTGGGAAGAAAACTTGCAGCATCTGCATTGACATCAAATCCTTTGTGCCTAATTCAGTCCCAGTTTGAGCTTTGGCAAAAGGAAGTAAACATCATACAATATCCAACCGTTATTTATTTGTGGAGCTTCTGGCTGGGCAGAGCGTAAACAGCTACAATTTGAATTTTTTAACAGTGTCATGATAGAAAAGTCAGTCCAGTTGTGAGGACAGAGGTGACACTAAATTAGGCAACTCATAATTTATGGCTGGCTCTGTTAATTTCTCAGTGTTTACCCTGTGTCTAATCCCAGTGGTTCTTCTATTTATCCACCTTAGAACTGTTACCATAAATTGATTTATTTTGCTTTTCTAAAAGAGGTGTTATCATTGTTATATCATAGTTCCATTAACTCCTGTGAAACTATGAGAGGGAAGGTTGAGGACCTGTGCCTATTTTTTCTTTAAATCATCAGATGACATACATTCATTTTAAAACAAAATTCCACATAGTGCCACACACACATTTCTAAAATTTCTGCCTGATAGCTTGTTATCTGAATGAAGCAGACATGATTTCAAGATTTTTCAGGACTGATGGATATTTTTGAAGTCAGTCTTAGCAGTCACAGAACTATGCTAAAACCCAGGAATATTCTAGCACACGCAATAAATGGATGGATGCAATCAAATTGCTTTTGCATTTTATGGGGTACTGCTCATAATCCACAAAAGCACAAAGAAGCTGTGAGGGACTCTTATCACTGTACAACATTCTGAGCTGTCAGTGACTGTTCAGTCTATGCAAGCTGAAAATATTTCAGGTATGCAGCAGGTTAATAGAATTGTTGTGATATTTGTACTGGGGCAATGAAAATAAGTTCACTAACCAAAGTTAGGCACAGCCACTTCTTCCCAAGTAAACCAGCTGGTTGTATTTCTCTGTACTTCCTCTGCTTGGAACTTAATAGTGTCTGGAAGGAAACTCTGATATTTCACTGAAATGTCATGGAAGAAAAAGTGATCTTAGTATTAAAACAAATGCATCAGCTGCTTGTGCAAGTGTGTTGCCTATTCATAATAACAGCATCAAGCAAACAAAATTAAATAAGAACATGTAGTAGAGATGGGCTGGAAATTGCACATAGAATTAGTGCTGACTTTTTGTGAATCTGGACCCAGCTGACACTGCTGGACCCAGCTGAAACAACAGTTATATCTTCAGTTCAGTCCTAGCTGGGAGTGGACCTCCAGAGTCACTCACGTCCTTATTTGCTCAGCTAATTGCAGGGTATTTTTCTCTTTATCTGTCAGGCCTGTGGCTTAACCTTCCAGTATCTCTGAGGACTGGGCTGTGGATTTGTGAATCCTCTGCCTTTTATGACATGGGAGAGCTGAAACTCTAGAAAAGGGAATGTGGATCTGACTGAATGTTCCCAACTTTGCCAATATTACTTGCTAAGAACCCTATATTTATTAAATATTTAAATCTCCAGAACGTTTAGGCTCACAGCTTGACTTTTACTGATGCTCACCTTTTGTTCTTTAACTGTCTTTAGGCATTAGTTTCGCTGAATTATCATCTTTTACGAAAAGCCATTGGCTGTTGCGGGCCATAAGACCTGTCATTTTTTGTTCATCTGACCTGGATTCTAATCACAATAGACCGTCTAAAGCAATGCTACATAACAAAAGTAATAATTTCCATTTACATATGTTCCTTAAAGGGCTGCCTTGTACTCACCTGAGCACAAAGTGAGAAAAGCTCACTCTCCAATGGATGTGCTGGTGTCTCCCAGCAGGTCAGTGTGTTAATGCTCCTCAGCACTTGGCCTTTGTTAATTCCATTCCATTCCATGCAGAGATTTGCTTGGGTATTGCTGGCTTGTACAAAGTAACCTCAGCAGAAAAAAAAAAAAAAAATTAATGTTCTGCTGCCCCAAGCAGTCGAAGCCCACGGGGACTTGGGTGCATCCCTTATGTTGGGAGAAGCCAACTTGATCCAAGCACTGCTGGCATCCTGAGAACATGGAAATGCCTGTCCCACGGGGATGCAAATAGACCTTAATCACAGCACTATGTAAATGCCCACCTTTCCACAGCCCTGCACAGCATGGGCAACTCACAAAATAATTGATATTTTTCCATGTGAATAACTCTGTGTGCCTTCAGTATGCTGCAGAGTTGTTTTGCATAAGAAAATGAGCTGTTATTTTCTACCCAAGCAAACTATGCCCTTCAGGTGAAATGTTTTGATTTCAAGAACAAGCTGTCAAAATATTTTACAGTGCTCTGGGCTCCTCATATTCAGGATTTCTAAGTGCTGTACAATCACAAACCTCCATTGGAAAAGAACTGGAAACAACTCTCAAAAAAATGTGCAACCAGAAAAAACTGGAATAGCATTAGCTGCAGAAGTTTAAAATGAGGCCACTAAGCTGTGAAGAAACAAGAGTGTCTTCCTTATGAGCAAATTTTATGGTGAAGAAATGAGAGTTCAGAGTTGTCCTTTTTTTAGGCTTCAGCCTTATGTTCTGTCCTGCTTGACAACTCTCAAATGGCTGTGGTAGGATTCTGTTTCTTGCTAGTTAATTTTAGTTACCCTACATGGAGAAGGCAGTGGTAGAGGCTAGATTGTAAATCTGGGAGTCCAGATAATTTCCTGTAAAGTATAAGGGAGAATTAGGAGGAGGTTACACAAACATATTATATTTAGGAAATGAGAGAGAAAAGCTTTGGTATGAACCAGAGGGAGCTTTTATGAGACCAGCCCTAAGTGATAAGAGCCCAACAAATGGAAGATAGCAACACATTAACAAGGAGAAAAGAAAAACTTGAGGCAAGCTTTGGTGTTGGATAGAGGAAATACATTTTTATCTTTGGCACAGAGCCACACAGGAGCTTAAAGGGCATTTGATTGAGGCATTTGACTAAAATGCAAAGAACAGAGTGGGATCTGGGATAGGCAGCTGAGCAAGGTGTAAATTCATGAGCATATGAATCACTGATGAGAGGAAGATGATTTTCTGCAATTTTTTTTCTCAGCTGAGGTCTTTGGCAGCATGTGTGGAAAGGAGAGGGAGCTGCATTCAAAGCAGTAGCTGTTTAAGGCAGGCTGAGCAGCTGGGGACAAAAGAGAGGAAAATGATCTGCTGTTTGTGAGTCACTTAAAAGTTGTAACATGTAAAAGCATGTAAGAGCTGTGTTACTGATTGCCTGCTTCACTGGAAGATGGAAATCAGTCTTCTTCTGTGAGATTATTTACCTTAGATTTCATTCTTGCTTCCTGTCAGTTGAAAAATCAGTCAAGTTTTCTTTTGTTCAATAACAAATCCACAACTGGAAGAAAATATTTGGTCCTGTGTATTTCCACCTCCCTCAAATTAAACAACAGCACCTTCAGCCAATTTAAAGCATCTAATTAGACTGAAGTGTTGAAACAAGAGGAAAACCTTGGTGCCACACAAGTCAGCAGATTGTTTCCCTCATACTTTGTGTGTTGAGACTTCATCTATGTAAGGAGTAAAGTGCAGTGTTTGGGTAAATTATTGTGTTGACAGGAGGAATATTTTGAGAGCTCTTGCTGAACCCTGAATGGCATATATAAATATAAAAAGCTGCTACATAAAACAATCTCCAATAATAGTACTAGGCTTTGTATATGTATTATTTGCATTAGGGTGGTCAATGAGAGGATTTACATAACTGTGGCACAGATTCTGCCAAAACTAGAGAAGCCTGACTCTGTTCTCTGGTACTACCCTAAGATTTGTGCTGTAAATCCACCTGGGCAGGGCCACTCCTGAGTCAGATCAGTCCTGGAACAGCATTACAGACTTATGCTAAATCCATGCCTACTTCATCTTCAGGACTGCAGAACAGCACTAAATAGTAGATGCTCATTTTCCCTCACTAAAAGGACCCTCTTCTAGAAAAAAAAAAAAATTGCAGGATAATTATGTAATTTTGGTTTATCTTTGTGTCCTTTGCCTTCCTTTCTCTGAGTTTATCTTGACTTTCTTTTTACAGTAGTTCCCATGGCACTAGTCTGCTGTAAATTCAGCTAGGGTTCATAATTATCTCTGGAAAACACACACGCATAAATAGCTACCAGGAATATCTTATTTGTTTGTTTTCATTGTGAAACTCATAAGAGGGACTAGCACTGTCAGTACCACAGAGTGATGGGTTTGAGGAAGGCCTCCCTGGAGATAAGCAAAATTTTCCATGTGTCTGTAAAATGAAATAAAGGGCACCTGCTGACTTTTATTTATCATTACGACCCTTCTGACTAGCAGCTGGGATTTTGCTAACAAGAAAAACTCTTACTCAGGGTACTGTATTTGTAATTTCGTTGGATTTTGGAACAGTATTAAATATATGTATTTTTTTCAGTTCTTTCCTTCATGGCAATCCACACAAGATATGGATTCTCTGCTGATATGAAGGCACGTAATCACACCAGTGCAGAATTTAGCCACAAGTGCGCAGGTTTTATGTCTGTGTGGCAACAAACCCAGTGCCAAGGTTTGGGTGGGGCTGTTCTCAATTCTGTTCCCTTCCTCCAGCACAGATCCTCGTACACGGCACAGGAACATGCACATTTTAAATATCTGAGAACTGGCATTCAGACATTGTTGGTGATACTAGAGACTCCCTCATCACAGAATCCCCAAGGCTGGAAGAGACCTTCAAAATCTAATCTAACCATTAACCGTCCCCAAGCACAGTCACCCCTAAGCCGTAGCCCCAAGCACCACAGCCAGAGGCCTCTTGAATTCTTCCAGAGACCGTGACCCCACTGCCTCCCTGGGCAGCTCATTCCAATGCCTGACCATTCTTTCAGTGAAAAAACCCCTTTGCCCAGGTCCTGACTGTTTTCGCTGTCAGAAAGAGCCTGTGCCTGCTGTTTTGAGATCAGGGAGGGTGATGAATAAACCATCACAGATCATCATTACAAATGTGTTTCCTCTCTGTTCCCCAGGTAAAGGTAAGAGCTTGGAGATGGCTCCTGGGTCACGGTGCCTCAGCAGCATTTCCACATGAGTTTGGATCTCTGTGCACAGTAACAATTCGATTGACGTGGCAGTGATTACAGCTAGAGTTGAACCCTAGGTGAAGTCTTCACATCTTCCTCATCAATGTACTGATGATAAATCAAATCCTGACAACTCTTTAAGCAGATCATATTTATTGGAAGTTAATAAAGCAGACAGGGAAACCTGCAGATCCAGCAGTTCATATACACTCAATGAACACAAAGTCCCATCCTCAGGAACTGCACCTCTTCTCCTTCACCACTTACAGAAAGGGGAGGGAAAGACAGAAAGCTTAAATTCCACAAGAAACAATGCCAATATATATACAAGTCATAGTCACAGACAAATCCTGCAGCCCCTTCCTAAATTGAACCAATGTCTAAGATTTCAAGAACTGCCCAAAGCTTCAAGGTATGTCTGCATCAACTATGAAAGAAAAGGACAGAATGACTGTGTGTGCTGACTATAAAAAAATATGTCTGTCTTTGATATTAAAGAAATAAAAAAGAAGATTTTTCCTTCCTCTTCTATAACCTATAGAGAGGATATTAATGACCAATGGAACTGAAATTTGCCCTACCTGAGTCCAAGAGCTGTTAATTTTCAGATACATTTTCAAAACAAAAGGCAGGAAAAAAAATTAGAATACAGTTTAGTAACAAAGCTGGTATACCATGACTATTTATAAATAAAAGTAGAAATATTTTATGTTTATATACATAGACATCACCTGGTATTTAAGGACACACATTGTGTTAAAATAGCATTCTTGTCCCTTTGCTGCTGCTTATTTAGTTGCAAAAAATTAGAATAGATGTCTTTGATGCCAAAGCTAATATATACATCATAACTTAAAAATAGACAACAGACATGTGGAATAAGAAAAATGTACCCCCAAAAAATTAAATAGATATTTTTACGTCCCTCTTAAAATAGGCAATGACTACATTGTAATTATAGATTTAATTATGCAGTGTCTTTAGTTAAAATTCATGTAACTTTGCATTATACCTATTAATGTTCCTGTGTGTTTTACAGTATGAGAAAATACCACAAATTCTCTGTGCTTAGTGTAGGAAATACTGCAAAAACATAAATGTGTGCAAAGACTGGATACAGAGATTCTAACTGTGATGAAACACTAGCCTAAATGGTACAGGCCCAGGATTCGTGTTGGGTAATATCAAATGGCACTATATGAGACATTTTTTAAGCAGGAAAATAAAATTTTCCCGCCAAATCTGATCCCAGCCTTTGCCTGAGTTTAAAAAAAAAAAAAAATCCTATATGAAAACTCCACATGCCAATACGTCACCTAGTTTTCTATGAAAGTGAGATTCTGCTCCAGAACTCTGACCTGCTGTAAGAGAATTTTCTTTTGCTTCACCACTTAGTTACACCTGCTGAGGGTTTGGGGTTTAAAACACACCCGGGTTGCTGCTGAGCTGGGCTGAGCTGGGCTGAGCTGGGCTGAGCTGGGCTGAGCTGGGCTGAGCTGGGCTGTCACCGCGCGGTGACACGGGCTGAGCTGGGCTGAGCTGGGCTGTCACCGCGCGGTGACACGGGCTGAGCTGGGCTGAGCTGGGCTGTCACCGCGCGGTGACACGGGCTGAGCTGGGCTGAGCTGGGCTGTCACCGCACGGTGACACGGGCTGAGGAGGGCTGAGCTGGGCTGTCACCACACGGTGAGGTCCGGCCGCACGCCCTGGAAGTCGCTGACCGTGAAGGAGCGGGAGCGGCGGCGCAGCGGGGCGCGGGCCGCGGGCCGGGCCTGCAGCAGGCCGAGGTAGGGAGCGGAGCGCAGGAAGCGCGGGTAGCTGTCCTGCTCCATCAGCCGGTACACCGTGCTCTGCGCCGCGTCGAAGGTGCTGCGTAGGGGCTGCCCGATGCTCTGGCTTGTGACTTCCTTGGTGTGAAAGTCCAGATTCACCTGGAGGATGAGGAAAAGGGTATTTGTTTAACGTACATTCATGCATATACAGTGTTGTTATCTACAGCACTGATACTGGACACTGGAAAAAAAACTTTTCTAATAAGAATGAAGCCTTAAGCTTTAGCTTTCATATTTTCCAGATTCTGTACTGCATTAGTTTATAACTCTGAACTTCATATAAAGTGTTGGCAGGTTCTCCCCACAGCTCAGTCACACAAACCAATCCTTTTCCAGCCCCAGAACCAAGGACACCGCTGCAGCTTCAGGCCCAAAAAGTGCAAACAGCAGGGAATGGAGGAGAGCAGACTGGGAGGGTGGGACTGCATCACCTGGAGCTGGAACTGGACAATGAACCCAAAATGGAAATGGACCAAAACTTATAAAAGTGTGAAAACTCAGGACCCAGGGTCCATCTTGGGTGTAGCCACGGCTCTTGTACTGCCCACAGTGTATCCTCTGAAGGCCTTTTAATAAATCCCTACTTTCTTCCTTTCTTCCTTCCCTACATCTGCCCAGCCTCTGTTCTAGTAGGCATCAGGAGGACCTTGAATCCCCCGTACAACAGGATATTAACACCACAGAATTGGTGTGTTCGCCTTCAGTGGTGGCTCTCAGAAAGTCTCCACAAATGTGTCATTGGTACCATGGAAAACTGGGGAAACAGAAGAAAAACTCTGATATTTGACGAAAAGTAACTTTCTAACGTGATCGCTGTACAGTCACAGCTTCCCAGCTTTGCAATACTGGACTATTACAGATCTCCCCTGCTCTCATGTGGGATTAAAGTAGAACTTGTTCTAATGAGATGATATTAGTGAATAGTTAAAATTTCTGGTTTCTGTGTAGTTTGTAGTGAGAAGGTAATAAAATTCTAATAATTTTTTTGTTTGTTTGTTTAAACTTAAACAGGTCTCGAGGCTTTAGATTGGGAAAATGTATAAAAATTACTATTTACTCCATGTGCTGCTGCATTCACCCTGGGAAATATTTAATAGTATAACAATTTTAATGAAGTGACAGGCACTGGTTCAAGCACGTTATTTTGAAAAATAAGGTAGAATATATAAAAAAATTGTTGACTCAATCAAGAAGTGACTTCTATAATGTTTTTCTTTTCCTCCCTGAGAGGCACCTGTCATTTCCATAAAACTAGTTGGAACATATAGTCTAGATCTAAGAGCTGGAGGGCAATTAGTGATCAGAGAAGGGTCCACTCATCTGAAATTTTATGATCCCATCAAACTGTAGGCTCAGAAATTTGTGTGTAAAAGAGTTTTGCTGGACAAGGAGTCAGAGGAGATGTGCAAGCTCCAGAGCTGTGTGGTCTCAGCTGAACCCAAGGGAGGAAGTCACACCAAAGCCAAGTGTCCAAGGTGAACCACAGCACCCACCCTGCCTGCACCAAACTCAAGCATGGCAGAGAAAGAAATTGTTGTATTACTATGACTTCCTGCCCTGTCCTCTCCTCAGCTTTCTCCTGCTCAACTCTTTGCTTCAGTCTCAAGCATTGACAGTGTCAGCACTTGTTACCTGTCCAGGGCTGCTTCTCCCCAAAGGCACACAGCAGGAAAAGGAATGGAAAGGGACATAAGTCCTTAAAAGTAGGCATTTCCTAGGAAAAGCAGATAGGAATCCTAATGCAATCTATAGGAATTGCAGGTGGGAACTGCACCGCTTTGCAATCCTTTCACTAAAATGAGAACTACACTTTTTTCACCCTCATTACAAGGAAGCAGAAGTTAGTGTTTAACTTCTGCTATTCTGGCAAATAAAAAAATACAGGTATTGGCAAGTGACATATTTGATCTGCTCAAATGTGATAGAATTACAGGAAACTGTAAGTCAAAAAGATCTATTCAAGAGGCTGCTTGTGATTTTGCTAAAAAGTTTATGATCTTCCAACCTGTTCATCTCCATTTAGGGCAAGCAAAAAATTATTTCTTTTGTTTATTTATTAACCCTTTCTAACACACTTCAGTAAAATGAAGAAGTTGGAAATATGAAAACTTTTTCATTCTTAGGGTACTAAAACAAGGCCTTAGTGTTGGTGAGGACTGTCATTATCAACATCATTTTGTGCTGACAGTAACACACCAGGGATATACAATTGGAGGTGGAGGGGTGGAGGGAGTCAACCAAGACAAGTCCATGCTCCTTCCAGAGTTTTGACTTTTAGGAAAGTCTTCTTATATCAGGGGACTGCACTATTAGCTCTTGAAGCTTCTTCTGGGCATGCACTTCTTAAAAGAAAGTTTCACCAGATGTAGTTGTGTCAATCAAGCACTGTGTGTAATGAGGAAGGTCTACCTCTTTTGGAGCATCTTTCTGTATGAATGTTTCAAAAATGGTCTTGGCTTTTGGCAGAAGTTCCTCTGCACTTTTGCTTTTCTTGTAATCCTCGCAGGCTATCCAGAACTCGATGTTCTCCTCACTGAACTCAGTTTTCAGAAACTTTGTGAAGGCATCCAGCCCAGCTACGAAAGGGAAAGTTGAATTGCATTAAAAAATATATCCTTATCAGACAGTTACTCTTTCAAAGAGTCTGTGAAAGGTAGTAAAATATGTTTTGCTCCCTTGGAATAATACCACATTACAGATAATTATCCTAGAATACATAACTGCTTTAAAATAAATGCAGTTTCTCCATTATGATCCTGCAACTCTCCTTAGAGAATTCTCAGCATCAGTAAAAAAATGCTACCAAGATCTCATAAATTTGGAAAAAAACATTAAGCAAAACATGTGGGAGTATGTGGAAGTGGTGGACTTTATTCCAGCTGAATATCAATACAGGTTGATCCAAAGACTATTTGAATCTTTGCTCATAAGTAAACCACTCTTCAGCAGCAATTTCAAATTGATGGCTTTCAGCATCTCTATAATTTGCTTTATCCTGCTGTTGTTATGCTGAGGATATTTTCTTTGTCAAGCATGCTTCATCTGTGGAAGTAATGCAATTGTGTGGATATGAACTGTTCAAGGAACAGATTCAAAGAGCCCACAGTGTCCAGCACTGTAGCTGAAACACGTGTGCCCCTCTGAAATGAAGGCAGGACATATGTGCATTTGATAATGATGGGAGCAGCAGGGCCTCTCAAATGATGGCCAGCTTGGATCCAATCACTGTCTTGGAAACAAACTGTCAGGACTGACATAGTCTTTTCTTAAAGACATGGAGCGTATGCAGTCAGGAATATTTGAGCAATATTACGGTTAAATGTTCCTGTTTGCTGAAGGGACTCTTTGCTGTCTGCTATATTACTTTGTTCAATAAAACACCAAGCACAAAAATTATTTTAAACTATTTTCACAAGTTGACAGCAAGCTATAACTGAAGAAGACAAGGAGAGCAGGAAACACATGCTGCCGTAAATGACCTATCATACCTAATTTAGGTAACTGCCATGTCTATTCAAGGACATAACTGGATTTTATAATTTTCCATCTTTTACCATCAATTTTCCATCCTAACAGTCTGCATAGAGAGAAAAAACTACTGACCTTTCTCAGAAAGCAGTTTGTCAAAAGACTCTCCCCATTTCACTGCTTCTTCAGGAGACACACTGCTTAAGAAACAGAAAGAAGTTTTGAAGAATTGTTCATACTGTGCATTAAGGAGGCTGTGTAACACACATTAACTGTCACTGTTGTGGCTCAGGACTGTTCCACAAAGCTTTTGATTAGATAACCTCACTAAGCGAGATCATTCTCTTAGGGGCTTCAGGAACATTTGCTTTAACTCACTCTTGACATTTTTTTCCTGCAGAGTTATACTTCTCTTTTTATAAAAACATAGAGCAGCGGCTTTTTGCTGTGGTATTTGTGTTGTCCTACCAATTTTTAAGGGAATTGAGACCATGTAGCATGGTAAAACTCATAAGGGAAAGAAGGTCTTGTCAGCTATTTAAACTCGAGATAGTCATGCAGAGATGTAGTTTTGAATATATTCACTCTGAGGCTGTTACCACAGTCTTCTTTTAATGAAATATGCAGAATTCTGTAGCCTGAAGACAAAACTGTAGCAATATGGTTTAGGTGTCAGTCTTACAGGGCAATAGCATGTGTCGTCTGGTTTGTTTACCACAAACATTTCAAGTGCCATGTTATTCTGAGACACTGTGCCTCATTTATAAAACTCCTCATGTTCTTCATCAAGTATGTCAAGTTGCACTTCAATTTTGAAAAATCTGCCCTAGGAAACAGCAAAGAAAGGGGAAAAAAACCCCAGTTTTTATCAGTTGCTTTGTGGATGTGAATGTTTAGAACCATTTTCATTCCAGGACAAATCACAGGACACTGAAAGTATCAGTAAGTGACAGGTCTGGGATTAGTTATCAGATCAACTTCTTATGGACCGAACGTTTCTGGAATATGATCCACTTCCTCATCAAGACTTGCTGTTCTGTTTCCTGATTTACACAGTTTGGGTTCCCTTGGCAGGGAGGAGGCATGTGAAGTTTAGTTGAAAGGAAATTCCAGTCTCTTTGGTAAGGAATTTAAGCCTGTAATGAGGCGTTTTGTTTTGTTTTGTTTTTAATTTTGATAGGTGTCACATATTTCATAGCTGAAGTAATTTCTTGCAGGAATGAAAATTTTATCTAGGGAGAAGAAAGCAGTTTGTGAGGAGAGGTACAAAGGCTGGAGAAATGAAATTCAGGAAAGCAGGGGGATTCTGGAGTCAGGGAAAATGAGACCTCGCTCCCTTACAGCGTTCATTAGTTGTGAGAATTGCAGAAAGTACAGTGAACTCTGAAATGCAGGTTTCTGTACCTACAGAAATTATTTTGGTCATAGTGAAAGATAAAGCCTTATGACTTCAGACCACATACTCAGTTCACAAAGGCATGAAATGCTGGAGTTTTGGAAACTCCTTTGCTGGGTTTGGAAACTCCTGCTGTGACTTTCTTGTTTTCCTTCAGCATCTGCAACAACCCGGGAGCCTCACAGACCCCCAACACCTGAGTGCAGCAGAGTTTGTGCAATAATAGACAGAAACCGAGATTTTTTCAGCTTTGCCACTTTCTAAATATGAGAAGAAAATAATTTAAACTAACGGTTTGACATTTCAACTAAAAGTGAACTTTTAAATGAACAGATTAATTAACTTTTCTGCTGTTACCCCAATTTCCATCTGCAATGTTTCATTAAAATCTCTTTCTACTTATTTTAGTAACTCTGTGAAAAATGGAAATAATAAAACCTAAGTAAATCACTTAATAAAATTCAAACTATTATCTCACTTTATTATTTGAAAAAGAGTAAATTTGTTTGGTTGGTTTTTTCCATTTTTTGACAAATATAATTGTCACTTTAATCCAAATATAAGACCAGCAAAAATCTACAAGTTTCTCTTCCGTACAAGAACAGTCAAATCTCTGTTAGTAAAACATCAGCTGAGAGTAACATGGTAAAAGACAGCTGGCTGAATGAGGAAATGATGTTAAAAGGGAGAAATTCTTCAGAGAATTGTTACTGCTCTGAAAGTGCTGTCTGGCAGATTGTAAGAATGCAGTGAATGGCTGTACTTTGTATTAAATACCTGGGGTATATGAGCCACCCAGCACTGTCTGCTTCTGCTTTCTCTTTACAGATGCAATTTTAGAATGGTTTTACATGTCTGCAGCCAGGGTATCTCAAAGCATGAGCAACAAACACAGCCTGGTTACTCAGATGCACCAGTGGGAGTGTTTAGATACCCCCTCCCCAGCCACTCTTCTATGGGTTCTAGAAGCACAGTTTGGGTCCTTAGGTGACCTCTACCATGTGCTCATTAATTAGCACATTAATGGCTTGTAGAAGCAGCTGTGGTCAAAACAGGCAGCTTGGTCCGGAAAGTGAGGACTGCTGGAACAAGGGAAAAGGCCGTGGTAAGCGCTGAAGTGTTCTGGAGTGATTTGTGGTGGAAAGAAGGGGCCGATACATATTATAGGCCACAGTGTTGTAGAATTCTACATATTCCTTCTTCTCAGTCAGGACCTAAAAATGTAATTCTTAATATAGCAGTGACATCTTGGTACTCCATTGAAGTGAGGAATTAAACTCTTGTGGAAGTCAGTAAACCCGAGATTGTACCCTGCATCTTTATGGTAAATACTAGGAACAATACTACCAGAGTGTATGAATTTTGCAGACAAGAGTATTCAACCAATTACTGCAGTTACTAAGGAACTCTGCATTCACTATTTAACACAGCTATGGCATTTGTACATCACAGAAGTCTTTGGAAAACCTGCTTTGCCAGGAGCTGTATGATTTTCCTGCCAGCTGCATTTCTGAGTGGATTATTGCTCTGTACAATCAGTGGACTCGTACCAAGGCTGCTGGCACAAGGTTTAAACCTCTCTGCAAGTGTATGGAGACCAAGTGGTGTGAAAACACTGCTGATTACATTGATACATACCAGGTAATTCTGTAGTGTTTGCATGCTTGGGTTACACTGATAAATTTTCAGTGTTGCTCTGCCCAGTCTGAATGCACACACATGGGTACAGGAAACATCCTGAGTCACACAGGTGCTTCTTGTGGAGGGAATCCCCAGCCGACCTAGTCTTTTACAATGTTTACCTTGCTGCTTTTGTCAAGTTTCCAGGTTTGCCAAGGTGATCACTTTCATGGAATTCAGGTTTCTGCAGGAGCAGGCTCAGCCTATTTCTCTTCTGCTTAGCTCTACGACAGAATTGAAGTAGCTTTTCAAGAACCATTGTAGAAAGTTGGTTTTTCCCTCTCAAGCATTCTCTGCTTCTCCATTATACAGCTCCCTATTTTCACTTACAGTAATGTTGGTGTTACTTCTCCTACATATATTATTCACATCAATGTTTTTTTCTTCATAGCTTAGCACATATTTTACACTGGCAAAGAAAAATGGAAATCCTTTAATTTTCAGCATCCATTTAATTTATTTTAAAGATGAGGGGCCAAACTTCCCATTAGAGAATGTAAACAGTTGGCTCAGCGTCTTCTACTTTTAATGTTTCACAAAGAAAAAAGGAACTATTGCTTCCTGTCATTTGACATTTTTGAAAAAAGCTTTCCCGGATGATAATCAGGCTTTAGAGAAGCATTTCTCAGAACTTCTTGCAACCTCTTTTTCTTAGTATTTTTAGATCATTAATTTGGTTTGTTTCTTGTCCTCAAAAAAAATGAGAGTACTTTGAGATAACTCTTCTAAAAAGAGTTAATATTTTACACATATTTTACACCATTTCTAGGATTGCAGTTCATGAAATCTCATATATAAGTCAAAAATTAAATTAGCTGTGCCCTAAATTCATCCCCACAAACTATGCTAGAAGAATCCTCCATGTAAACAGAACACGCAGAGGGTCGGCATGACCTGAACACTTACCCAGGCTTGCTTGCCTTGTGTGGCTCTTCCTTAATCGCTGATTTTGTGACTTTGTAATAGGGTTTATCCTTTGAAGCAGAAATGTTGAGTTGGGGGAATAAAAGAAGTGGGTTCTCCATCTTCTTCTAGAGAAGCTTCTGGCAAGGTTCCCTTTGCTCCCTCACCCCCGGAGCGGGCTGGCTCGGGCTCTCACATGCTGCCCTGGCCGGCCCCAGCCCTGTGTCCAGAGGAGGTGGTGGCAGGAGGTGGCTCTGCAGCTGTGCCCACGCTGGGCTCTGAGGGCAGCTCTGGTTGTGCCCTCGTCCCTTGGGGAAGTGACACTGCAGCTCCGCAGGGCTCGCGCTGCAAACCACAGCCCAGAGCTGCGGCTGCTCAGCTCCTGCTCGGGGTAGGGTGACACCAGCCCGTGCTCCCAAACACCTGTACATGCCCTAGGCTCCTAAAATTAACCTCAATGACAGTCATGCCACATGAAATAACATACAGCCTTCTCTTCAGCCCCCAGAGGCGCTCCATCCGCCCTTAAGCTGCTCTCTGCAGCCTCAGTGCCATGTGCATCCACGGCACCCTGACTTCAAACTCAGAGTTTCTCTGCGTCTCCTCCAAGCTTTGGCTGATCAATCATTTTGCAAGCAGATATTTTAGTTTTTGCACCATTCTTCAGAAATTACAACCACTCACTTCTAATTTCCAGTTTGTCCACTAAATGCTCCCTCTTTCATTTCTCTGACTGTGGATTTATTTTTACTTGCAATCTCCCACACAAGACAGAAAGTCTTCAGAAAAAAAAAAAAAAATCTGTGTTTTTTTAAATTTTATTTTGTTACTAAATAACCCAAAACTTCTCATTTCAGTTTGCATAAGGTAAAAATGTATTAATCTTTGAGGTTCATCAGCACAGGTTATCTCTTCACATACAAGTCTAATGTCAGTTAAGTTTCTTGGGTTTAAGTTCACTTTCTGTTGGAGGTGTCATAGGAACAATACATCTAATAAAGAAACATCTTCAGTGTTAGCTGAATGAGGCACTGGAAAGGGTTAAAATTACTGCAGTAGTTAATTTATTAAGCATTTAATAGTTCTCATGTTTTTAATGGCAGTGTCTCGTTTTGATTTCTCAGGTAGGACATTGAGCTTTGAGGAGAAGACATGACCTCATTACCTCCCATAATTTTGTTATGTTTTACTTACATGGGTACTTCTGGTGAGAGTTCCACTGTGGCCTTTTTCTTGTGGAGCTGAGGAGGATGGGAATGGGAGACACTAATATTCAAAAGAAATTTTAAAAAAACCAACTCTGCTAGGAATCCAAATTTGTGAAACATTAACAGAAGAATAAGATGTAATCTATCATGATTTTTTTTAAGAGTTAACTGAAAAACTCTCATGTGCTACATGTGTGATACAAATTTTAAAATCAGACTGAAAGGGAAACAGTGCAAACTGCCTTTTGTAACCCAAGGGACTTTAGGAAGCAGGGTTACAGTTTAAACCTAATTTTCAATTTCAGAGAAGGCTTATGCATAATATCATGCATATTTTAAAATGGCTTTAACTGCAGCTGTGTTTAATAATTTATTCTGCCTTTTACAGATAAGTAAATAAATACAGACTGCGTGACTTTATTTCACTTTTCTGCAATAGTGGTGGTCACATGAGCTTTTTTTACCTGTTATGTGTACAAAATACTGTGCTCATCTGCCATAATTTTGTTACCTGCTGATTTCAGCTCCCAGAAAATATTTGTAATTGTAGCCTCCACATTCCATCTAAGCTGATTTAAGAAAGATTTGGAGCATGGAATATAATTCAGAGGTGAATTATGAGGGGCCACTGTGCCAGGCAGCTTCTAGATGGGGATGAGCAGCTGTGTCCCTCTTTCAGCACCCTCCAGCCATGGTCTGAAGGGCCTGTCCCACTCACTCTTCAATGACCCTAAATGGGTTTTACGCCTTAGATTATTGAATTATTCCTGTACTACACTGCAAGCAATTGTGTCAGTCCTGACTGCAGCAGTGTGCTGTACACCTCCTGAGAATTCACTTGGAAATCTGAAGGAATGTGGAGAGGGGGGGAATAATCACATACAATCTTTCCCCCACTCACCCACATTTTTTCCCCCCATTAATAGAAAGCTTATACTAAATCTAGGCCATGAAGTAGCCAAATTGCCTCCAAGTCAGTCTCTGTTTTGTCAGCACTGCTGCTGGTGCTAATGAGCATCCCTGTTTTGAATTGTAAGCTACAGTAGTTATAGTAACAGTATTAATGACCCTGTAAATGCTTCTGGGCCATTTTGGGTGCTGCAAGATGACGATACAGGAAAATGAATAAGTTATTTTAAAACCAGATAAAGCAGACACAGAATATTATGTTGATAACATGACTAGAGATCTAGAAAGCTCCAAAAAAAATTTGTGATGAGAACTAAATGTCCTGTTTCCCAGCCATTTCTCTAACCACTGAAAAATGTTGGGAAGGAGGCTACTGATTTTTAAGCCCTCAAATCAAGATTCTCTCTGAAATGTGAGAACAATATTGAGTTAATGTTCTATTACTTGCAGAAATACATTTTTCAATGGTTAGATGAATATTAAATGTATTTTCATAACAACCTTCATGTGACACAAAAGTAAAATTGTATAGAGAATAAAGTGCTGGATGATGAGTCGATGTCCTGATCCTTTGGGCCTTCCTGTTCTTTGGCTGAAAAGTGTCTGCACTGGTTTCTGTTTGTGTTTGGTAAGGTCCTGTCACAGCTGATGATCAGGTCATGCTTGATTTGTATAGACACAGTAGCTGCCCTCCGTGAAAGAAATATTGACTGACAGTGTTAGCAATAAGGCCATGGTATTGTACACTGAGAATGTCATGTTTTCTTTTTACAGGGAGTCTCTGAGAGATTCAGGCTTTCAGTCCAGCTGAATAGAAGTGCAGCCCTGACTGAGCAGTTCAGCTCGGCAAAAAGAGCTGGAGCACAATGGGAAATCCTCCCTTGTCAGTAATCCCACAGCATCTCTCTCCAAAGCTGTTTTCCTTACTTCCCAGGTAAATACAAACTTTGCCTCCTCCATTTCCATTCTCATGTTCTGGCACTGCCCGGGCTTCTCCACAGCCAAGCTCCAGCACTGGTCTTATTCAAATCCAATCTTACCAGTATGGCTTTTGTTGGGTTAGGTTTCTGCTGAAGGGAAGCAATATTTATGAGAATAAAAACAAAATACCAAAACCAATAGTGTTTTTACTGTTTTTTCTTACAGGAAGGAATAAGCATGGAAAGAAACTTCACTGAAGAGCATGGGCTGAAAACATGAATTTCCATATTTCATTTCCATGTAAAGACATTTGAAGACTTGAAAATTAAAATTGTCTGGTTTGAACTAATTTGGTTTTAATTAATAATTCTGCTCTTCAGTCACTTCTGACCAATTTATCACTCCTCAATATTTTTGTTGTTTATTCCTATTTGGAAACAATAATTGAATGTAAAATTTAATAAATAATATGATCCAAGTCATGGCTGGTTTTTTATCTCTTCCCCATGAAGCAAATCCAGAAGGAAGAGAGTTCTATTGGAAATGTAGAGGATCTTGCTGTCTGCTAATTCAGGGAATTTGTTTAGTGGTGCCCTTAAAAGATGCATCCCAGGGGAGGGGGTTGTCGTGTGGGGTTCTTCAGTTACACAAGGAGAATCATTGCAACGCCTGCACACAGCTCGCGTTGAAAAACGTGTTTTTCTCCTTTATTGCTGCTGCTTAAAAGGAAGGAAACAAAATTGCATTGTTTCAGATATGAAGCACTGCCAACAGGAACATAACGCTTTGCATTTGGGGTCTGCTAGCCAGGCATTGCTAAAGGATTTTTTAAGCCATCCCTGATGAAAACTCAAGAGCGGCACAGGCTTGGGAGTCTTTGTAGCTTCATCAGAACTTCTGCGGGGGGAAGTGTTTACATCCGTGCTAAACGGAATTAATTTATTTGGTCTTTTGAAAGGTCAGAATAAGAAAGTGAGTCTGCAAAGTTCTCAGCTGTATTCATTTCCTGCCTGGCCCGCGGTTGCCGGCCGGCATCTCTGGTTAGTGCTGTTTACAAGTGACATGCATCACTGTCACCATTAATCTTCAGGCAGTCGTTTCCTCGGCTGAGCCCTGCGGTGTTCGCAGCCATCTCTGACATCAGTGCTCATTAGACAATGGCGTGTTAATGACCAGCTTCCGGAAAGGCTCACCTTCCACGCTCACAGGCCTCTTTTAAAAGAGTTTTTTTTCTTTGTGCTATTCACTGGAAATGCTGAAGGCAGGAATGTTCTCTAAATCCTGCCCAAAATATCCTTCCTACTGCAGTTCTGCACTACTGGATTTATTTCTGCCTTACAGAAACCCAGAAGGACTCCTCACATGACAACCTGTTCTTGGGGGTTTTTAAAGTTGTTTTTTTTTTAAAGACAGATTTTTATCAACCCATGGCAATGGAGCAAACAGTGGAAAGTATTGGGCTGAGAATTTTCTGGTCCTTCTGGGAAAGGTGTGGGACTTGCTTGGTCATGCACAAGAGGGCTGTGACTCCTAGTCCACTGACTGTTAACCGTAATATCAAACTCCCTACAGAACACAAGGGAATAAAATCTGTGTTGCATCAGGACTGAGTCTGCTATCACTGAACTACTGGGTGGTTTAAGCAGAGCCAACATGCTTAATGCTGGGCATGTCCTTACTCTGCTTTTCCAGTCAGAGTATCAGGAACATCTCGGGATGCTGCAGCCCAGGCTGAGCTACCAGGGCAGGCATTGTCAAACAACTATTCTGCAATATCTTTTTTCAGCTTATATGTTATTATATTTTATTGTTACTTCTTCCTGATAACACTTTGTTCTTGTGTCCTGAATTTAGCTGAGGCAAATAGTCCAACAGTTTATAAAGTGGTATGGTGGATTTCCCATCAGAGCAGTAAAATTTGGTACCCAAAAAACTTGAAAATATATAGCTAAATTTCCACATGAATGTAAATATATTATCTTCAAAGTCTGTCAAAAGAAGACAGCATCTGAAGATATAAAAACTACATGTCAATCTGATCTTTCTGTTCAGTAATTACCCAAAGGCGTTCATCACAAAAATTAGGTAAAAATAATAATGTTACATCACATTTCAGTACAATCTTCAGAATGACTGAGAAATTTTCCAGGAAGGTTCAACTGATATTTGAGGATTGAAAAAAGCTGTATTCAAAAATGTAAGCTAGGCCAGTTTTATTTCCTAGATTATGGAAGTTTTGCAGTTGTAGTTTTCTTTTCCTCCTTCCAAACTTAGAAATCTAATGAGGAGTTTGGCTTTGAGGCAGGGACACTCTTTGTCATCCTTTACCAGTCAGTCATAGTCTCTCTTTTTCGTTGCTAATATCAGAATTTCCAACAAAAGCCTTCTGCAACCAGGCATCAGGGTACCAGCTTTCCCAAAACTACTATCCAATTTTTTCAGATTTGCAGGAACCCTCAAGAAAACTTGCTGGTTACCTAACACAGTGAGAGGCTGAGGGCTGTGAATCCTAGAGAACCTTCAGGGAAGCTTCAGGCATAGCAGAGACAAGGCTTTGCTCTAGTAAAGTCCTTGTGTGAATGTTTAATTCCAGTCGTGCAAGAAATCTTATCTGATTCGTTCGCAGTGTTGTGTTGGAGACTGTGTGAACTGGCAAAGATCTGAGACATTTTGGGACCCAGCAGATGTGAGCAGCAACAGCAGAAACAATTGAACCCATCCTTCATTCTGCTAGGCAGCAGGATGGATTTTATGAATTCCTCACTGTCACCCTGTGCTGTTATTACCATGACAAAAGACCTTGCCATTTGGGCACTATCCATTCCTCAAACTTTTCAGGCTTTTAGCCTGAGTCATGGCATGCTTCATGACTATTGTGGGTTTGATGATACACTTCTTAGCTTTTGCACGAGTTGTCCTTGGTGACCTCTGGTTTTCACACCAGATTTTCATCAGGCCCAATCTGCTGCTCCTGTCTTTCTCCTCTGTGTTTTTCTGCCACAGCCAGAATAACTGGAATCACAAAAATAAGTTTTGCAAAACTTGCCAAAAATGCTTCCTCAAAAGAGAGGAAGCATATTTGCAGTTACAGTATGCACACTAGGAAGGGAGCTATTCTAGTCTCTCTGTTGAGTGAAAACAGGCGATCATTTATCAGCTTCTGCTGTCAATTTGATAAATATGAATCTTTAATAAATTTGATATTGCTGTGGCCACCAAATCTAATACAAATGTTGCACCTCATCTGTTGCTGATCAGCCTAGATTGCCTGAGGACAGACCGTTGATCTGAAATGTGTCCTTGTGGCATGTATAAAACAATTTCCATTCCAGTTTGCAGTGACCATTTTTTGCAATTCCTAGGGAAGGTCTGCAGATCAGGAGATCCTTTGCTTTACTTGATCCACAAGCACCTTTCAAATCCTAATTTAGAGATTTTCACTGAGGCTAAGTAAGTTTGGGGGTTTTTTTCAACCCAGAATGATCTCCAAGTTTAAAACGTTTGCTTTCTGATTATCAAATTCCAGTCTCATCCTGACAGTGTAGATACATGTTGCCCAGAGGATGGATATATGGGCATCCAGCCCTTCCAGTACCAAAATAAGGCACCTCAGCTGGTGGCTGACTGTAGCCACGGCTGTCCCGGTGCTCCCTCTGTTGGAAAAGTTCTGACACGTCCTTTCTCCCTCGCAAGGACGTGAACACCTCTGCCTGGGAATCGACATCCCACACGTTCTCCAGTGAAACCCAAAAGGGCAGTGTGCTGTGTCCCTCTGCTGCTGGTATCTTCCATCCTCCCCAGCTCATGCTGGTGAGGGGGTCTTGGTTCAGCAGCAATGAACGGAGCAGCCTTTCTTAAGGACTAAGAAATAATCAGTGCAATAGTCTCACCTTTTGGAAATATTCTTCCCAGGTGCTTCCCTGGTAAAAGAACACAGGGCCTGATTTGCAGCAGAGAGCACAGGCTGAGGCACAGCCATGGAGGGTGCGGGACTACAGCTCCCGGTGCCGCCCTGGGCACAGCTCCTCCCGGCCCTCCTACCCTCCTCCCTTTCATTGGCACGCTCTCTTTCTTCTCTAGATGTAGTTTAGCCACAGCTTGCCTGGGGTTTCACCCGAGGTTCAGAGCTCTCTGTGAGCAGGGTCAGACCTGCAGCCAGCAGAAGGAGCAGCTTTGGTACCCCCGTGTGTCCATCTCACACCTCCAGCAGATCCCTGCTGCGTCACACAGAATCACAGAATCAATTTGGTTGGAAAAGACTCTGAGATCAGCGAGTCCAAGCTCTGACCCAGCACCACCTTGTCACCCAGACCATGGCACTGAGGGCCGTGTCCAGTCCTTAAACACCTCCAGGGGCGGTGACTCCAGCGGTGCTCCAGGGCAGCCCCTTCCAGTGTCTAATCATCTTTCCTGTGAAGAAATTCTTCCTAATATACAACCGAAACCTCCCCTGGCATGGCTTAAAACTTTGGTCCTGTCACAAGTAGCTTGGGAGAAGAGGCTGGACCCCACCTGGCTCCAACCTCCTTTCAGACTTCCCTTGTATATGCGGTTTTGCTGCCTGATTCACACCAACTCATCCCAGACATGTGTCATGATGTGAAGATCCTTGTCAGCTGCCAGACCCATCAATGACAAATCTTCTTTGGTGTTGATGGCACAGGCACTGTTTATTTCTGTCTTTGTTACTTTTGTGGCAGGGCTGTGCAGACGTGGCCAAAGACACAACTGTTCTCTTGGTGTTTGCACCTGTAGTCATTATCTGACAGCTGAGTGCATGCGGGAACCCACGTCATCTCAACTGTAAAAAAACCAGGTGGGCTGGGACCTGGGGTCCTTTTCTGGCTGCTGAAGGATCATTTGGCACTGCTTTGCCCCAGTGCTTGCCATGCTGCACTCATTTAGCTGGTGTGATGGTTATCTGAGCAGAGCTGAAAACAAAGAACCCCAGCAAGCCCTAAGGGCAGAGCCAGAGCAGATACTTCAAAGCAAAATCCCGGGCTTGTGCCTAGGACATGTGAGGGAAAGCCTCCTGTGCACAAGTGAGCCTCTCTGAAGTCTCACTCCAGCTGCTGCAAAACGTGCTCCTCTTCAGGTGCCTTATTTATCTGCACTTTCTGCTTATCATCACTTGAGGGCAGTTAAGCTCATGACAGGTCTTGCTCTAGCCAAGTGTGATTTGATCAAATGTTAGCATTTTAGCTGTTAAAGTAAAACCCAGCAAAGCCAAGGAAAAAGTCATTGCTTTGGGGCTGACTGTGTCCAGGTTGTGCCAGGGAAACTGTAGCTGTTAATCACCCTCTTCCTGGGTGGGAGCGGATGCTCTCCCTTTGCTTGAATACACTCTGCTTCAGTAGATTGGCTGGTGCCACCTAAGATAAAAATACTACGTGTGAGATTATCCTGCAGCATTTCTTGACACAGTCCGGCCTGGGCAGGGCTAGAATTCTCGGACACAATTTGCTAGCAAACGA